TTTCTCCAGATAATTCAGAAAAACTTCTCCGTGTTTAACACATTTCCCTTAAAACAAATTGCTGCTGTCATGGTTGATAAGTTGTGTTCAATAGCCAGTTAACTAGTATTTCATGAACCTCATCAATGTCGGAGAAATGGCTTTTAAATAAAAAACATACTCTTCTGTTTATAGGTAGGGTATGATTTGTTAGTGATACAAAATAGATACGTCCATTCCAGGACGATTTTAGGAAACTGACATGAATGTCTACTTCTGGCTGCAAATTTACACCATGGAGTACAGGCCGACCTTGGAGATACTGTGGGTTTGGTTTCAGTCCACCACCGTAAAGGAATATTGCAATAAAGCGAGGCACACAATTTTATTGGTTTCCCACTGCATAGAAGTTATGTTTACATTGTAATGTAGGCTATTAAGTGTACAATACCATTATGTCTAAAAAAATTTATACCCCTTAATTAAAAACTACTTTATTGCTAAACATGTTCACCTTCACCATCACCTGAGCCTTCAGCGAGTTGTGGTAGTACCATCCAAGATCATCATAACAAATGTAGTAATAATTTTAAAAGTTTGAAATTTGTGAAAATTACCACGGTGTGACACAGAGACAGGGAGTGAGCAAGGACTGCTGGGAAAAGGGCACCAATAAACTTGCTCCAAGCAGGGTTGCTTGTAAAAAGCAATATTTGCAAAGAGCAATAAAGCAAAGCACAGTGAAATGAGGTATGCCTGTGTGTGATAATACATTTTGAAACATTATTTGAAAGTGATTAAAAATCAGATCTTCACAAAAATGCTATTTTGTGCTTAAAATAGCTCAAGTTTCTCCCTTGGCAAGGTAGAATTTAGCAGGTAACTTCATCCATCATTTACAAAATTTTTTGTAAATTTGCATTTACATTTCTAAATTGTTTGTTCAACTCTTCTACATAATTATACTGCCACTGTGAATAGGCATAAAATTCAATGAGGTATTGTAGCAGTGTTTTCTATTTCAATATTTGTAGCAATAAATATATGTTTGGAAATCAACATAAATTTGAGAAATTTCAGAGATTTTATTTCTCTTGTAATTTTTCAAGTACTCTTAAAGCTTTCATTTTATTTGCAAGTTCATCTATAGAGATTGAATGATTTGAGAAGCGTGGGATATTTCTCGCTAGTTGAAATGGAAATTGGCCACTCCTCAAGGTGACATTTGTTTTCCTTTGCTCCTGAGATCACTTATTACTACATACAGTATGTGGATTCAAACCAACAGAGAGAGATATGTCCGCAGGTTTAAGGAAAACTCACCAGCTTTGTAATTTGAAGGGTAGCAGTTTGAAAAGGTGCCACATGCACACAAATGCCTCTTCAGATACTGTTCTCTCTCCTTGAGTATGAGATGTGCGATTCACTCATAGCTGGAGCCATTATTAATAAGGCCTCTTGAAACACAGACATAACTGGGAGGAGCAGCAGAATAACACATCAGTTCCCACTGGTGTTTTATTATGGGTTAGTGGCTCAGATTAGCCACCTGCCAACTGATGAACTTTTTGGAAAGGGGTGGAGGAAATGTGGGGAGCATCTGCACAGGCCAGAGTTCAGGCATCAGAGTCGAGGGCCCTGGAAAGTCAAGGAAATAGCCTGAAGACAAGGGCCACTAACGATGTGTTAGCACAGCGAGGGCTTGACACCAAAAGCGAACTTCCTCTGTTTTATATTTTGAATCCAGCTGTTAAAATCATGGCACTTGCCCAGACGTAGAATAAAATAAGTGTTCATTGAGTTTGTACATATCCAGAAACATCATGTCTATAGACTAGAGAAGAATATTGTTAAAAACCCACTATGGTTGCCATTTATTCTTACACTAGCCCAAGTAGTAATTCTCCTGCCTTCATTAAACAGTTGATTGAGAAATATGGTAATGAACAATTATCTCAAATGATGCATTTAATCTGATCAACTATGGAGAACTAAAATGAACAGCCTAATATAAAAATCAAGAGAAATGTGGGACAAGGGAAAATGTTAAATAGAATGGCTGTAATAATCAAGTGATCATATTGAGTCCACATTAAAAAATTTTTCTAGCTTAAATTATATAAGAAATATGTATTTAGATCTATTATAGATATATATACACACACTCAGAAATATAAAAGCAAATCTGTTTTCTTGTTCTTGACTATTTTCTAAAAAATAGGTTGTCTATTTCAAGGTCATGTATATTTTGAGAAGAGCATATTCATTGTGTTTAATTTCTATGATCCTATGCCAATCTGGATTTCATTACATAGAAAAACTCCAGTATGCTTAAAATATCTATTGAGAAAAGGTCTTAGAGACCTAGCAGTTACTGGCAAAAGAAATACACATGATTGCTTAAAAAGGGAAAATGAATTCAGTATTGACTTTCATATTGTCTGAACTGACTTTCCTGGATGTGTAGTTTGATTTTCTGGGGGATATGAAGTAAACAAAAAATGTCGTACTAGATCTGATATTTAGCAGTTTTGTGATTTCTTGGTAAACCACAAAAATTATAAGTTCCCATTGTCTCATCAGTACAGTGGATACTGATTCTCCAAGGTTGGCCATGAGAATAAAACATGATAACCTAGTAAAGGACCCTAAGACAATGGCCCACCTAAGCAAGGGTCTCACTGTGCATTAATATTGTATCTGAGTCTGACCCCTTTGCTTCATCAACTTTTCTCCCCCATGTGTTTGGAGGGGCCTGAAAAAACAAAATATCCAAAAGCAGAGAAGCAAAAGTACAAAGTATGCAGCATTTCATTTTTTGATAAGACACTGAAAGTGTTTTAGATTATTGGAAATGACAAATCCTTGTGTTCTAGTAAGGGATAGATCCTTAGGGAAATAGGACTTGAATTATAATTTCAAAAGTGGGTTTAGTTGTGAGATGGTGAATTAACAGCAAAGGCATGGACTGAACCGTGATCTTTTTCACTCCATTGTTAGATCAGAACTTCTTAATATTTCTGGGATCCCAGATGGAGGTATGGATGGTCTAGTGTGTGGGGAGGAGGGATTAAGAGATTTATGACATACAAAATTTGTACAGTTTGAGAAGTTTCACAGAAATCATAATCCCAAGGCATCAATTAATGAAATAATCCTCGTGACCCTAGACACTAGATTCAAAACCAATCAAAACCTCTATTGCCAAATATATTTCAGATACCAGTGCCTTGCACAACACAAGTTCTCTGTTAGTTGCTCAATGAATATTATGGATCCAAATTAAACTATTTATCCTGAGTGCAGATTTATCATCTCTGTCCCACTGGACAGCTATCCATCTCTGTCAACATTAACCCATCTTCATATACAAATGAAATACATCACACAATCTATTTACTTTCACAAATACTCCCTTATCTTGCTACTACTTTGCTTGGCACCACCATGAGAAATGCCATGAGGTCATTTTACTTGAATTAAGGTCAAAAGAAACAAAATCAAAACCAGCCTTTAAATATATTGTATTTGATTTCTGAGGCAACGCCAGAATGTTAATATTATTCTTGACTCCTGCTTCAATGTAACTTATGGTTTTATTTTTGGCATTTTTTTTTATATTGTGGTTGTTATAGGCTGAAAGGAATGCATGGATTTGAGGAAAACTATCAGATTAGCTAATGTGAAGGATAATGGCTCTCTAGAAAGGACTAGAAGGTTCATGTGAAACTGAACCACCATCTAATCTAAATATCAGGATTTCAGAGGGTTTTGCTATTGTTATTGTTGGTGTTGTTTTCATATCCAAGCTTTAATAGCAAACTCACCACGGTTCAGGGTGTTTTCTGTGAATGAATGACTGGCCTTGGTTAATGGCCTTGGCATCACCTTAGTGTGTCACCCCAAAACATTCCCCATGCCTCCATCTTATTACTTAAATGTGTTTCTTCGTGTACTTTAATGGATCTTTCAGTGGTCATATTTTAATAGTTTGAAGAGGACATTTGCACAGTAAAAAAAAATAGTGGAAACTCTTTCACAGCTATCCCAGTATCCCCCGCTGCTGGGGCAGTTTTCATCATCATACTAATAACGCTTAAAATGGAGATCCTAAAAGCAATCCTGTAGCTTAGTTTTAGTGCTTAGGTAGAGGGACGAGTTGACTTCGGAAAGCTCTGATGATGTAAAGACTATGACCAGTGCCTAAACTTTACCTCTGGAGAAGCAGAAGATCTGTGTGTTTGTGTCACTGTGGCATTTAGGTTACGCACAGTGAAAAAAATCTGCAACCTGTGCATTCTGACCGAGGATGGCTGTATTATCATTCTTGCTAGGACCAGTAGAAATCAATAGTTTTCTTTGGCTAAATTTTGGTGATTTACTGGGAATGTGTGGTGCTAATTGAAAGCAAAGGAGTAAGCTCAGTGAATTCCTATACTGCCTATTATGTGTTAGTATGTCTTCCATTTTAAAGAGAATTTTGCAGTTACATTTTTAACACTTGATAAGATCAAAAGACTGAGAAGTCAAGTCAGCAGTGTTTAGAATTTAATTCATGTTGGATGAAGTTCATAATATGCTAGATCACATTGCCTCAGACTGTTTCCTTATTAATGTTTTTATTTCTCCTTTTCCAAAGGCTTCTTAAACTATATAAATAATGAGATCATTTAATACACTACGTACAACATGCAACGTACCCAACTGCCAGAAAAAAGTTCTGTTTTGTTCGATGTCTAACTTACATAGCCCCATTCCTAGAAATAACGCAGGTTTGCGAGGGTATTTTTTTTAAACCCACAGAAAGAAAACTTTTTACTCCTACTCTCATCTTTACGTAACGTGTTTTAAGCTGGGTTGGCGAAATTCTATCAGTGAACAACTGCTAGATTCAATTCGAATAATTTATCTGCTTAAAATATGTATATTTATTTTCCCCTAGAAAGGTATTTCTAACTCAGTCAAACGAAAGTATTGATTCAATTTTAATTGTTCTTCCTCTTTGTATTTTATTTCTTCAGATTTTCTTTTCCATCTGCGTTGCTTTCTGGGGAGTAAGAAGCGTGAAACAACTTGCCTCAGGCCCTTGGAAATAACTTAAGTTTGTACACAATTCTCTTAATCTTTTGTCCACAACCGTAATACATTCCTGCTGCCTATGGAAATAGAACTCTCTTATAAAATGATTATATGAACCATTTCTTTAATGAAAGGTAAATATATTTACTCTTGCTTGCTGTCCACACTTATTATTCTCTATTACAATTAAAAGTCAGCTGCCGTCACTTTCCTGTGTTGCTAGGGTTGAAAGCAAATGATTTCAAATATAATGATGTTATGTCCATTGGTAGCATCTAAACCAAACCAATGAATATGAGAAAAAGAAGGGAGAAATTTTCAAAACAGTAAAAAGAATGAAGATTTCATTTGCATTGATTTGATCATTTTTCCTTTGCTGTTGGCTTAATTTGTGCTTAGATACATAGTTGTTGCCATAAAAGTGTATCACATGAGTTATCTGCCCAAGGTTTTGTTTCCTTTTGAAAAACTTGAACCTAAGGAGTGACATTACAGACAATGACATCACTGAAATGAAAATGAACAGAATTTGTCAGAATTCGTTTATTCAACAGATAAATTTGTGATACATATGTCTAATATGTTTGGTCAGTTTGTTTTGGCAGATTGAGGAGCATTCAGTAACTCTGCATTATTTTAAATTGTCACAATATTAATAAGACTCTCTAAATAAAATTGCACCAGGCATTGTGTGTACATTTTTCATTGAGGTTGTAAAAATCTGCCAAGTATCTCAGTAAGAGGGAACTGACAGAGATAAGCAGGGAAAGTTTCAAAGGAGGGAGGTCTGAAAACAATTGGAATTCTTTTCTTTCCTTCTTCCAATATTTCTTAGATTTAAACTCACAATTTAAGTAACCAACGTTATAAGCACTAAAACAATGGATGTGATCCTTCATGGAGCTTTGTCTATATTCATTGCTGGTTTAAAGAGACTGAGCAGTTGGTTAACTTATTTTTAATATACGCTTCTTAAGCTTTGAACAGAGAAAAGTTGTGGAACTAGTAAAAGAATCCATCTGCAGGTGTCTTTGTGAACTCATGACGCAGAATTGAAGCACATTTATTTTGCAAACTGGAAAAGCAGAGGGAGATTACATTTTGCATGATGGAAACATTAGCAAATTATATCTCAAGCGTCAGAAGTAGAGACTTGGCTTTGCTTCATTCATCTTTTTATACTTTCTTAATTCAACACAGAGTTAGAGCAAATATTTGAGCTCATAGCAAGTATTAGACCTTACTCTTGTCCCTTACCAACAGTGCTTGCTGGAATTTGCATATATAGAATCACTTCAAAGCAGGGAGCCCTCTGCTGGTTTGAAATTGCTAAATTTACAGCAGAATACCCATATTCTACATCCTAATGACTCTGTCTGTAGGTTACAGTCTTCAAGAACAGTAATGAAAAGGGAGGTTTCACAAATCTGAGAGCAGGTTTCTAATATGTTAGAACAGTTTATTGGTTTCCCCACGAGTCATGTATAAAGTATATGTGCTTGAATATATATAATTTTATAGGAGAGGCCTAAAAGTGAGCTTAATCGGAAATAAAGAATTCAAAACTGATAAAATATATTTTGATGGTGAAGTTTAGTTTTCTTAGAGTCTACTCAGATTTATCCATTCTTTGTTTTCTCTCTTAGTTACCCTCACTATGATTGTAAATGATTTTTTTTTTTTAAAGAAACACAGCCATTTTCAGGGTAGGAATTTTCAGGCCTTTGAAAGTAGATGTGATTGCCAGATAGGGAGGGTTCCCAGGGCACTTTATTCTTCACCTCCAACCTTGTTAATTGTTCATCCAGTTTCCTCTTGCCGAGCTCTAATACATGATGACAGATCATATAACTATTATTAATGTTGTAAATTAATCTTGAGTGATGCCATGTAATTTATGCTTACTTTTGACTGGAAGCACTTTACCTCTCTCTCTTTCTCTCTCTCTTTCTCTCTCTCTCTCCCTCTCTATCTCTCTCTATCTCTGTCTCTCTCTCTCTGTCTCTCTCTCTCTCTCATTCTTTCAAGAGAAAAGCACCAAAACTAGGGCTCATCGATGACTCAGCATTTCTAATGGGGAGATGCAAACCAGTTTTGCAAATAATTGTGAATATCCTCAGGCTTGCTAGTCTACCACAAGGAAGACTAGAGAGAAGAAAGACACATTCGTTTGTTGACTATAAGTGTTGTTAACACCATTTCACAAAGAGAATTTTGAGGCTAAGAGAGGTTAAAACTTTGTTCAGGCCTATCATGCCTAGTCGGTAGTTAGAAGAAAATTTAACACCTCTAAATTCTGATGTTGAAGTCCATGATGTTTTTCTTTGTTCCATGATGTCAGATATCCAAGGCAAGCCTTTAGAATTATAGGCTCGGGAGTTTAAGTTTGGAGAACTTCCTATTCAAGTCGATACTCCAAGGTGCAAAATAAAGTTCAGAGAAGAAGTAGTTTAGTTACAGGATAGAATAGTTGACTATGTGAATGAGTACAGAATGTCTGATGTTTCTAAGAGTGACAAGGCCCTAGGTTATTTTATAGGATTGTCATATAGGATTGTCTGAAAGAAATCCATTCCTGTACTTGATTCGATTGGATAAAATTGCTCATTTCTCTAGCTCCATTTATTGTGTCATTTACTTCCCCTTCATCTTGTTCTTTCTAATTATTTTTATTAAACTTAATCTAATCATCTCATGGCCATGATTTTTCTGCATTATGTGGTTCTGTAATTGAGTATCTGAAATTCAGTTAATGACCAAAGTATCTGAACTCTTGTTGTATTTAACATTACCAACTTGTGTTAATGTTTGTTAGAGTTTCTCACATTTCACTTTACTGATAGTATATGATTCATTCATTTAGTGTGCAATTGGCAAGACAAACATTGAGTGGAATTCTTTAAGGTGTGCTGTGCGATTTATTAAGGAGAGCAACAGTAGTTAGAAAATCAGTTCCCTTTTTTATGCCTCCTTCTCTATTTTCCGTAATCATAGCTTCCAGAATCCCAAGGAAAAACAGAAAACACAAAGGCTAGTTTGGATTTCAGACACTTAAAAACATTTTTCATGACATGATTTTCAGCAGCCCTTTGGAGATTAGGCTCCATCTTAATCCTACCTCAGTGAAAGTAAATTTAACAATGTTCTATTTATTACTGTGGTATTTTTTCAAATCTCACTCTAGTCTACCACCTTTTCTTCTCAATAGCATGACAGATAACGCCTCCCTTGCCAAAGACTCAATTAGAAAAAAGTTAGTAGCAAAAAAGGCAAACAAACAAGGATTGATGGTTGTCTCTTATGGGTTATGTCTTCTTTTTGGAATTCTGCAAGTCTAACACCTCTTAGTCAGAATTTCCAACCATTCCAGCCTTGCCAGTAGCCATCAATCACAAGTGAATGAATCATCAGTTCATTCCTTGGGTGTGTTCTTTTGTTTTAGCAGCAATAAATCCAAAGTCTAACTTGCATAGCTTTATGTTTCTGAAAATAGAAAGAAGCCTTTGTCTTTATGGGTCAAGATTCTCTCTTGATCTTTGTAAAAATGCAAATTCCTGGTAGGAACATTAGACTTCTGATTTAGTGAGATGTAAGCAGTGCCAAAGAATCTGTATTCTTCAAGGTTCTGTTAAGGCCATAATGAAACTAGAATGAAAGAAAACTTCTCTAGCTCCTTACCTCAAGTTTCAGAAGAATGTAGTAAAGACAGACAAAGGGAATACTGTTTCTCAAGCAAATTAAAAGAAAGGAATGATCATGATTAAGTAAGCATGGATATTTAGATAATGCCACCCAAGGAAGAGTCTCACTTTAGCATGAGGTCATTTTGCATATACTTACAAACCTGAAAAGAAGGCTAAAAGTTTAAAGCCTCGGTCGCCATCAGTGAGATGGGGAGAGGAGGGAAGTCTAGCAGGCGAAGGAGACATGATTAAAAAATATTGGTGCCATGGGCTCTGTTTGTGTTTGCCCTTGATTTTTTACTTCTAGTAAAGTATTGTTAATAGCAGAATTAAAACGTACTGGGTGAGGTTTGATAGACATCAGTTTTGTACTTTCAGCTTTTGCCGGGTTTTCTTGTGGTAATGTGAAAGATGGAGGTGCGGTGAGGGCAGTCCTCACATGAGCACACAGTTAAATAGGAAAGACGTCCATATGCAATGGTTTCTGTTCCCTCTGCCCTATTTGGACAAAATACAACTAACATCACCCTTTCAGGAACAGTACCCAGCATGCATTCTACTTTGCTGGTAAAATGATGCGTGCCAAGACAATCAGTGGTTAAGGATGGGTAATTCCTTCTAGGCAGGAGATGTGGGGAGACTGTTTAACAATGGCATCTGGCAGCCACCTGGCGCTCCAAGAAGCCTTACCTTGGCCTATGCAATCCTCTGCAGGAACAAAACCACTGGGCTGCTAATTGGCATTAATAAGTCAAAAATTAATAAGTGCATATTTAGTGATGAATTAAGTATTGCTTTGTTTCCAGAAAATTCATGCTAAGTATATAATTTGAATAAAATGTTTATGAATCTGTGCTATTCACAAGGTGGAGAAAAGCTTAGTGAGATCACTGATCATGTGAAACCTAGAAGAAATAAATTTGCTAACGAAGCCACAGCATCTGTTTTAAAAGACAGTACTCATTTTAAGAAGACTGTGCTCAAAGGTGACAATTTAACATATGCAACTGTAGAAGGTGAATGCACTTTCTGGAACCTGACTTCATCTAGATTAAAAGACTCTAATAGTTGCACTTCCTTTTCTATTGTAAGTTTTCTTGTGCAAAAACAGAAAGTGAAGCAGTAGCTCATAATGTGTTGACTTCATTACCTGAAGGACTTTCAGTCGGTTAAAAGCTGTCAGTTTATCTCAGTGTCATCTGATGCTGTAAATGGAAAATTAGCTAGCACCAATGATAGGCCATTATTTTCATCCAATTTGTAGAATCAAGGCAGTTTTGAATAGCTCTTCCTGCCAACTGTGAAACATCTGATACTACCATGCTAATTAAAAACTTTAATATTCGAGATAGAATTGTTTTTGTTTTGTCTTGGTATTTTGAATATAAATTTTAGTGGAGTACAGAGTAGTGATAAAAGTAGTGTTCTTTCTAAGTTAAAAAACTGATGGCAGAGAAACTGCTTGAAACCATTTGTGTTAGACATGTAATTAATAATAGTATTCAAATTGTTAGAATTGAAAAAAATTATGTATACAGAGTTACTGTAAATTATCTAGAAAATTGTCTGTTGTGAAGATGACGTTCAGTGCAGAAGGATACATGAACACGACAGTGTGCTCTGCAGCCTGACAGCAGACAGGTTTTAGAAATGTGCGAGCCTTTGAAGAGCAAGGCCAGCCTGTGCCCTGCAGCAGCATGATTGCATTTGGTAGAGTCAGCTAAACTAGGTTACATTTTGTTCCAGACTAGATGGGAATCCTTAGGCAAGTATCAATGAATAGAGTGACAAAACTGCAGCATTGATGCTGTTAGGAAATCTCACTTAGTAAAGACAGAGCTTCTAAACAGGAGGGTATCGGAATTTATCCCTGTGAAAGTAGGGAAGATCTGAACAAATAAAATTTTAAGAGTTCAAACCTCACATGAAACTTAATTTTGAAATCTTATACTTAAGCTCTAGCATATCTTTATTTGTGAGGATTCAAAAAAACCTATTGATGAAGCTTCTGTTTTTAAATGGATAAATTTATGTTAATGTACCAAAAAGAAACAAAATAGAAAAAACCTATAATTTGCAGCATATAAACTTGATGAAACAACAAATAATAAAGACAAGTTATTTGATGAGTTTTGTAAAATATATTTCAAGTAAGTTATTCTGAATGGAGGCAAAAATACAAGATTTGTTATAATTATTGGAC